ATGAGGCAACAACATGGAGTATCACAGGTGTTAGCTTTAAGTTACAGTGACTTACCATATCAGTTGAAGTCGTGTTTTCTATATCTAGGCAATTTCCCAGAGGATTCTGAAATTGAAGCCGATAAATTATATCCATTGTGGATTGCTGAAGGTCTGGTATCATTGGATGACCAAGCAGAAGGAGAAACAATGATGGATGTTGCAGAGCGCTGTCTAGTTGAACTAGCATACAGATACATGGTTCAGGTGGAAGTAGATGAGTTCAGTGGAAGGTTTAAATCTTGCAGCCTTCATGACCTGATGAGGGATCTGTGCTTGTTAAAGGGAAAAGAACAAAATTTCTTAATGGTCGTTGATTTTCGGCATGGAAGCGAGAAGCTTGTGGATTATTCCTCTTACTACTCTTCATTGGACAGTAAAGTACGCAGACTAGCCATCCATTTGGGTGAAGATGGTTTCCCCAAGATTAGAACAGCTCAGCACCTTCGGTCCCTTTCATTCTTTGTTCCATCCAAATATATTTGCATACCTATGCCGAAGAATTTCCATTTCAAAGGCTTCAAAGTGTTGAGAGTTCTAGATCTTGGCGGAATCCAGTTCTCTAAGAAGTTAGCCAGAGCAGTTGGAAAGCTAATTCATCTCAGGTACTTGAGTTTAAGAAATTCTGGGTTCAGAAAGTTGCCTTCATCTATAGGCAACTTAGGGTTCTTGCAAACCTTAGATTTAAGGTTGCATGAACAATTAGGAGTATCTGGAACAATACCAAATGTCCTGTGGAAGATGAAAAGCTTGAGACATCTATATCTTAATGATCTTGTAAAAACAAAAGAAATATTGAGATTGGATGGTTTGAGCAAGCTGGAGTTACTGGAAACCTTCACTACACATCTGTTTGATCTTAAAGACCTCTTCATGCTTACCAACCTTTGGAAACTAAATGCACGTGTCCAGGTAGAAGTACTTGAAGACTTGGTGGCCATCATCAACTACCTAAACATCAGGGCAAACCGACTCCAGCACTCGTCATTTTACATTGGATACAACTTTTGTTCCGAAGAAGAGGTAAATCTTTTGAGACAATTGCTAGAGTGCCGTCGCCTTAATGCATTGCATATAGGAGGTGTTATAGGTAAGTTACCCGAACACCATCATTTCTCTCCAAACCTCACTATGTTAGAATTCAGTAGATCTGAGCTCAAGGAGGACCCAATGGCAACACTGGAGAAGCTTCCTAACTTAAGAAGGCTTGCCTTGGGTTCTAATGCCTTCGTGGGAGTGAAAATGGTTTGCTCTAAGTTGGGTTTCCCTCAACTCAAATTTCTAAAACTCAAAGAACTATCCAACTTGGAGGAATGGATGGTGGATGAAGGATCAATGCCCAATCTTTCTTCTTTAGAAATTGGTTGTGAGAGATTGAAGATGGTTCCAGATGGATTGAGATTCATATCTACCCTTCAGGAATTGAAGATTTCGATCTCGTCAGAAGATTTTCAAAGACGACTTCGAGTGGTACATGGGGAAGAAGGAGCTGATCTCTACAAAGTTCAACATGTCCCTTCCATCATATTTAATCCATATCATTCTTCCACAAGCATTTCAATGGAAGAAGTATTCAGGTACTTTTTTACAGGGAAAAATTAATTTGATTGATATATTGAGAATTTGGCATATTATCCTAGTTTTCCTTGAATAAATTTGCCAAAATCTTTCTTGTATGCGGTACAAACTCTTTTGTAAAATTACAGATTTCTTGCCTTTTGTAGTTCATATTTTCTTTTCTCTCATTTTCAGACATATATCGAATAAAATTGGAAGAAAATTAAAATCTGTTTATATTCTGTTTTTAATGCATGACCTTGGTACTGATTTACAATACAGTAGTGATTTACTCTATAATTCTCAAGTTACTTGGAACTTGATGTGTTATTTCATGTCCCTATAAATCAAAGTTTCTTTGTATATTTCAATTTTGAAAATTTACATTGACAATAATGGTAAATGCTAGTCCTTATGTGCTGTTATAGTGACAGTAAACTCTGGAGGTACCGTTAACAGAGGAGATCTTGTTAAATTCTGTCGCATGCATGCCTACATGTCTGTTTGCAATTTCTAATAAAGCAAGAGATATATTCTTGTCTCATTTTGATTATCAATGTTTATTTATTTATTTTTTCTAGATTAATATACGGAGGAAGAAGGTCTATCACATCCAGCCAACACGCTTAATAGGAATGTGATCAAGAACACCACCACCACCACCATGTTTTTATGACGTAGAACATGGCTAACACAAGCTGAGGTGAAATTCCAAAATTTGATGTCGTGAACCACTGCCTGGATCTCCACTGGAGCTGGATCAGACCCCACCACTGCTGGACAGAGAATCAGTGAATCACTTTCCAACCAAATCTGCTCGAATGGGAAGGAGGCGACCCAAAAAATCGTTTTGTGAAGGCAATAGGCCTCAGCTGAAAGAGCACTTGAAGCAGGAAGTGGCTTAAAAATCACGACTTTGACAATGTCACCTCTGCAATCCCGAAAAACAGTGCCACCACCCCCTGTGGAAGTGTAAAGAATGTTGTTGGCCCAACCTCTGGGAGTGTAAAACTTCCCAAAAAGTTCAGCACTTCCTTTGGAGATGTGGTTATAATGCGTTTTCAATGCCCCAAGCCCTTAAATGGCATCGTTTTGTTGATAGTGCAATATGTTTTCGTTGTGGTCTGGAGGAGGAATTTGTGATTCATCTGTTTTTTGGATGTCCTTACTCTATTCTTGTTTCGAAATTGTCTCCACTTCGTCTTGATTTCTCTTTTTCTCGGGTGACATCCTTTCCAAGAGTGGTGGATGATGTGTGTATTATCAATGATAAAATCACTCTCAATAGAATAAATCTTTGTAGGATAGAGCTATGTTGAGGGTGTCAAATCTCAAGGATTGCGACAATTATGCTGTCAAGATATTAAGATTATTTCTAATTTAATTCGAAATAGAAAATTTTAATTTTAATTTAACTAATTATTTAAATATAACTTAAACTAAGTAATTGGGGAGATCACGAGATAAAGAGTCTAAGGTATTGACTTTACCACTAATCCGCCCTCCAATGGTCAATTAGACATATTATTAGGATATTTTGTATGATCAGGATGTATGGCAACAAGCACATAACATAATTTATAAAGAAAAACTCATATGTCTAGGGATAAGCATAACCCATCTTCGGTTAGCATGTACAACCCATCTACACTTAGCATGACCTATCAAACCACTAAACATATGATCATTGAGCACCATTGCATGATAAACCTACCCTATAATCACAGAAAATAGAGAGGTCGAGATCAATTATAAATCCTTCTCCCTAATACAAGGTAAGATATCAAATATAATTGAATTTAAGCATTAAATCCCAAAATCAAAGTATAACCATTGTTTTGCCCTTAATTATGCAATCATCATATAATAAATAATCCCAATAAAATAAATAAATAAACCATTGGAGTTAAGATTAGGGTTACATCAATCCTTTAGAAAGAGTTTAGCCGCTCATGGAGAAGAAAGAAGACTTCATGGATGTGGAGACCTCTATCTTCATCTTCTCTTTCTAACTCTGAAAAAAATCTCTAAATTATACTGTCTGTAATGACCCGAATCCGAGGGTTCGAATCGCTAACCGGGTCCTTACCTGAACCCGAGGTCGTCTAAGAGCACTATGGTCAATTCCAATGTCGATACATGATAAACGTGCCATCTCAAGGCTTATACAAAAAAAAAAAAAAAAAAATGAGATCACAAATACAAAAGATGTCGAAACAGTCCACTAACCCATTTAAACTTGTGGAGGAACGTCGTCCACCACTTCCTTCCCGTGACCTAAAAAATGTAATAATATGATAGAGTGAGCTAGCCGCTTAGTAGGAAGTGTCTAAGACACAACTCTTATGACCCCATGAATCCACATAAAGCATAGAGTACAAGTAACGTGATCATGCTATTGGGGAACATTTTCACAACAACAACTAGAATAAGTGTCTACACCGGCCATCCGACCATAATTACACAATGCATGCCAATGAGATGCAATGTCGTGCCAACGTCGCTCCCCATTGCCGAAACAATTCCGTTAACCTTTTCAAACTGTTAGTGCAATCCGACCTATGGCAATTCCATGGCGTCATGAGACGAAGATTGGCTAGCTATCCCTGAACACATGGCAACTCCAAGGCATCGCAGGCTTAGGTAGCTCAACCTCGCTTAAGTCTCTCCCTAACCTCTTTAGACCACACTAACGCCACAGACCACTAAGCAACTCCTAGGCGCTCAGGTTTTCGCAAACCATTTCAAAACATTTTCCCAAAAATAATTTTCATTTGCTTTTCAAACATTCCACTTTTCCTTCCCAATGAAACGCATGAATGTTTCATACTTCTCAAATTGCCACAATCTCATACAATTTAACTTTAACAATATTCCATACCAATTAAGAAAAATTCTCACAAAATTATAGCATTCTTATTATTCACGAATTTTCAGCAACTAAGCATTTAAAACAAGATTTCAATCACTTAAGCATGCTTCTCATATCAAATCAACAACTAATATGCACACATATTGTGATAACCTGGATTTTTAAGATTTTAATTTAATTTATTCCATGATTTTTAGTTGCTAAGATTGAGTATTTAATTTTTATTGGAGATTTTTTTTAGAATTGCTTTGGTTTTGTACTTATATATTTATAATATCAGTTTCATATGGTGAAGGAAAATGGGCACTTGGACGAAATTCAGAGAGAGAAAGAGAAAGAGAAAGAAAAGGAAGATAAGTTTGAAATGGTAATGAATTTTGTGGGGTCCATTAGTAGATTTTTAGTGGGAATGGATTTGTTTTATGCAATTGAATTATATATATATTATATATAATATGCATTGCTTTTGTTAAGAGGTTAGCCGCATGTGGGAAGAATGGGTTTTGATGTTTTCAATTTGTGGGGTCCACTAAGAAGCTTGATGTGGTTTTGTAAGCATTTATATATATATATATATATATATATATATATATATTGCATCTGCCTTGAGATAAGAAGAACGTGTGCTGCCAGTCGGAAATTTAGAGAAAAAGAAAGAGAAGAAAAAGGGAAAAAGAAGAAAGAAAGGAAAAAGTAATGATTAGTGGGGCCCACGAAATTGTTTTTGTGGCTATAAATTCTTTGAACCTAGTCCTTCACGTGGGTTTTATTGGCTGACATTTTGTTTGCGTGGTGAGCGTTTTTGTTGGGTGTCAGTGGAATTGTCTTTATAAAGAAACTGTTTTGCAACTTTGGTAATGATACAAGGAGAAAGAAAAATAGAGGAAAACAAAATGAGCCGAGAGAGACACAGAGAGACGAGAGTTTGCAGAGAGAAGCCGCGAGGTTGCAGAGGAGGCCGGGAGCTTGAGACTTTGATGATCTAGTGAGGAAAATTCCTTTTCCAAGGTAGAGGTGTTCTAATACATAAATTCTTGTACTTTTGTGAGTTTTCTTGTTTAATTTAATGTTAAGCATGCTCAATTTGTATAATCTCTTGCAAAACTAGTTTAAATGTTGGTTATGGAACACATGATTACTTGTTACTTTTTGTGTAGTGATTATATATACCTATGTGAAATTAAATTCATGTTTTTAAATGCTTAACATGTTAAATTGATGTTGATTGAAAGAATGAGTTATGTGTTTTAGAAAATTATGTTGGATAGTATGTGTGAAAAATTTATTGTTGAATTGATGATTTGAATCATGGAGCATTCTTGCATCCATTGGTTTTGGTATCTTTTTGGGTCGCTACACATATCACTTAAACATGAAAGTCACATGGAGATAAAATTCATATATATAACATCATGACAATTTTTCAAGAAATAATCACAACTAAACATATCATACTTCAATTATAGGGGAATGAATCACAAAAATCAAAGAGATTGTAGATTAGAACACCCCTATCCAATCTAAACAAAAAGCCCCAAATCAGCCCAAGAATTCGAAATCCCAAATGATGGCCAAACAACACTTTGCTCCAATCAAAACGAAGATCTCAACGCGTTCATTAACTTTGCCTTAAGTGGCAAAATCAAATTCCAAATGGAAGATTATAAAATCAAGCTTTATAATTTGTGATTTAGTTAGAGAAAAATGGGTTTCATGTAGGAGAGAGAAAGAGGCTGCGTGAAAAATGAGAAAAATGAGAGTCTACTAATGGACTTTAGGCTATATACAATGATATACCATAATGGTGGGTCTCATGACTTAAAAAAATATCTCCACTAACATTAACTTATATACATACACAAATCAAAATACAACCACTAAATTAAACATACTACCATGTAAAAATGTATCAATTAATAATGGATGAATTGCAATGAACCCAAATTAAAATCCTCGTGCTCAACGACTCCGGTAACGGGTCCCATCTAGGTCCTCCCAGCCTGAAAAACGAAAAAATGCCAAAATAGTAACCAATGCATTTTCAAGAGTCCTAAACTCAAGGAAATGCCCCAACCAACTCTCAAACACACCCGGCGTCCAGCACGCAAACGAGACAAGATGAAAAACATTCCGAAAAATCAAAAAATCACAGAAAACGAAGAATAGAAAAAATTGAGATCATTACAATTTACCCTCCTTAAAAAGATTTCGTCCTCGAAATCTACCTTCTTTAAAGAAAGAGGCCCACAACCACAGACTTTCCCAATAAGCACCTCATACGACCACAAGACTATGAGCTCACCAACCTTATTGCCTTTGACACTGGATGTCAATAGGCAATCACACACCACTGCCACTAAAACACAATGCTCACCACCCTATGAGGATACTCATCACTCATAACATTAAAATACAAAACCAACTAGACTCTACACCCGACTCAAAACGGACATCGGTCCACTCTACACTGCCACGCAAAGCATTTGGAGCCCGAAAGAAGAACGGGCATGATCCTTGAACATGAAAGCATCCGATCTCAGTTTATCCTTTAAAAGACACATAAAACCCCATACAAGGAACCCTGTCCATCTCACAATTAATCTCAACTCAAAACTACACATCCCTATCGGACCAAGCACTCGCAATCTAAGGCATAGCTATACCGTCACATATCGGTACAAGCGACAACCAACTGCACCATTTGACAATCATTACACTTAACAACCTCAAGATAACTAAACAACGAATATCCCAATGACTATATAATCATGAGTCACCAAAATAATAAAATGTACTATCCTATACCATGGACACAAATCCTCAAAACAAGATCTTCAATAATCAATGATCATATCGCAAACCCTTTATTGGGCACTTGGTCTTACCTAACACACCTTGTCAACATAGATAAACCACCTGAATCTACACTGTCACACTGACATAATGAACAGTATAATGCTCTCACTGTCCCTAACAAAATGAAACAATCATTGACCTTTGACCAAACATCATGTTAAAGAGGGACTGATTCAGGGGAAATAGTTGGCCAAGCAATTCTCATCATCGATCCGACCTCAACACAGACGTCGTTTCTGTCCTCAGGTCTAAACCTCAAACACAATCTTACATAGTCCACAAGACAACCATGAGATCCATTCACTATCAATCCATTACGGTACATAATCCTTAACAACTATACAGTCACATACCTTGATCGGTTTAAGACTCGATCTATAATAAATCAACCCTTTGCAATAGCACAAATCATTGTAAAATAGGGCTACTGCACGGGTAAGTCGAACCACTGGGACTGCTAGTTTATGGCAACCAAGGTCTTTAAATTCACTTTTAGTTTGATGAAAGGGGTATAAAGTTTTGATTGGTTTGTCACATAGAATTTAGGAATTAAAGATTGCATAAAACAATATTTGCAAGGTAATTAAGAGAAAAGAAATTCTAGGTAGAGAGGACTAGAGAAGTGAATCCACTACCTATCCTATTAACATGCTAGTTGAGATTAACTTGGGGAAACAACATAAATATGTGACCATGGAATGCTACAACACAAAGATTGCTACATTCCTTCAAGAAATTCATGAAATCAATGGTAAGAATAATCTATCAAAGTTGCACATGCTTAAACTACCTAAATTAGTGTGTAGCCTTGGACATGCTTACTAAGCTAGAGATTATCAAGCCTTCAGTCACATAATAGGAGCACATGAAGTCAAGAGTCAAGAATAGTCCATCAAAGGGGGTCCTAAGCTATGGAATATCAAGATTCTCATACAATATGCCAAGAAACCCATTTCACAAACTCATTTCCATTGTCACTATGAAAATATAAGCCATACAATCATGAGAAAATATGATCTAAGACAAGATAATACATTCATCATAATCATTTATAAGAAATTAGATTCATTACATCAAGTGTAACATCTAGATTGCGAAGTAATCACATATATGCATCATTTTCCCTAAAATAAACTAAGACTAGAACATGCTTACTAGAGAGGGCTTCATCACCTCCCTAGATAGGGAGTTAATTGCCCATGGATGCACTAGAGGAAGGAGAAAGGATGAAGAGTCCCTCCATTTTCATGCTTAGAGCTTCAAGAAACAAAAATCCTCTCTTTTACAATTTTTCTCTCTCTAGAAGCTTGCCAATATGTGAGATCCCCCCATTCTAAGCCTCAAGCCCCTTATTAACACAAAATAATCTCCCTCTCCTCTATTTTCGTGCCCCAACAACCCTAGGAGAAATCAGGACCACAGAAAAGGGTCAAGGGGACAACTTTCAGCACAAATTCAGGGGCAGTTGATCTGCTATCTACAGATCGGCGGGTGCCCGCTGGTGTATGACATCCGAGGATGGCCACTGGAATGTTTAGCGGGCACTCGCAGATCTACGACGGGCGCCCGCGGTGCTTGCTGGCAGGGGCCCGCGAGACACAACGGGGCCCCGCGGTTGAAGGAATGCTCCTGGAGTGTTTGGCGGGCACCCGCGAATCTGCGGCGGGTACCCGCCGTGCTTCACCTCAAACCCTTCCCTCCTTTCTTGAGCCACTTTGGATCGGTCCGTTTGACGCGGTCTTGATCCTAAGCACTATGCCGCAAAACTCACACACTTGATTGAATCAAGCAACTTGACCAAAATGATGGTCCCCAACAATGACATGCTTTGATTCTTCAAGAGTTTGTCAAGACCGCTCTTTTAACCATTTTCGGGGGAACCAACCTAAAAGAAGACGGAAATAAATAGATAAAGCTAAACTATACATTATAATTAACTAATATACTTAACTAATGCAAATAAGGGCACTTGAATATGCAATATTCGGCGCTTATCATACCTCCAAACTTACATTTTGCTAGTCCCATAGCAAAACCAAAATACAGAACCTAACAAAAATGACAACATTTGAAATGCTATCAACATGCATCAATCATGGAGCAAGAAAATACCTACAAAGCTCAAATGTAACTTGGAACAACAGAAAATTGGAGACAGACTCATTAAGCAGACTACCTTGCATATATAAAGCCTTGATATAACAAAATGGCTAAACATGCTTCAACTCTCATGCATCAGCATTATAGTCTATATAAATACTTCAATTGTCATTTCTTAAATAGAAATGAACTCTACCTTCATTGAAAGTGAACCGGATTCCCAATATGTGGCTTTTACCCTCTTTTTCCAATCTCAAGAACACAAGCCCTCAATTCATTGAATTACCTTTTGAATGAGGTTTCTAAGGCATGACTTTATTCACAATACAACTTTTGTTGCTTGCTAAAAATTTATTTATTTATTTATTTTATTTTATTTTATTTTTATTTTTATTATTTTTTTAACATGATACGTATTATGGTCGTGCAATGCCGAAGTCCCTTAAACTTTCTAACCAACCCATGTAGTAAGCGTTAGGCCAGTAACTCCCAAACCAGACGACTTTAGGGTGCTAAGTGAGAGACACTCCTAGGACTTAATAACTTGAGTTGGCAAGGCTACAAACTCCAACGAACCATATTTATTTATTTTTTTAATTTTTGTGAATGACCGTGCAATGTCTAAATCCCTTAAGCTTTCTAACCAACCCATGTAGCAAGTGTTAGGCCAGCAACTCCCAAACCGGACGGTGACGAAGCGGGCCGCTCCTATATACAGTGAATGTGCGATTCAAGAAAAGCCTTTTAGGTCAAGTTTAAATTTATAAAAACCACTACCAACACTACTACTAAAGTAGCAAGAGTGAGTAGGGATCGTCCCAAGGGATTATGGGGAATGACCAATGTCGTGGAATCACAATTAGGGCTAGTAGGTCGAGTGATCAAACAATTGGTTGGTTGGTTGATAAAAGAGCAACTAAATTAAACTAAGTAATGGCAAAAGAGTGCAATTAAGAGTAAGAGAGAGAGAGAGAGATCTTGCAATTTAGAGATCACCACCAAGCAATGCATTTCTATATCATTGACAAGTGATTAATGAGGGCAAATAGTGA